TAACTACTATATACTATAATATAACTATGCTAATAACTAATAATAAATATAATATAAAATACAAGAATGAATATATAGCAACTACTAATAATATAATATACTATACTATGCTAAAAATCTACTTTGTAACACTATTTATTGTAATACTAATCATATTAACTATATGAGATTGGGTTAGTAGAAATCAAGCAAAATTTTTTTAAGTAATTTTTTAAAACTTTGAATAACAATAACTTAACAACAAATTAATTAAATTTAATAAAATTTTTTAAAAAATAAATTCTACAAACTTATAGAATTTATTTATTTAAAAAAAATTTTATTAAATTTGATCAAGTTTTTGTTAAGGTATTGGCATTTTAAGTTTTTAAAAAAACTCAATAAAAACAATTTGCTTGATTTCTACTGACTCACCCCATATGTAAGCTCTAAAATCTGAAAATGGCCAACAAAAAAAGAAGTTTAAGACGTTATGAACTTTGTTTATACCACTTTAATAACAAGGTAAATAAAATGTATATGAGTATTATTGTTTCATTAATTATATGAGTTAAAAGTTGTGTCGTAACTCTAATAACGAACATGATAATAAATAAGATTAAGTTAATTTTTCAAAGATAATTAATAAATATAGTTTCGCTAGTAATTTATTCGCGTATTAACTCTTTAATGGGTTCGGGTTTTTAATAATAATTATTATCTTTACGCGTATTTATCTGTTTTCTAACTTCATGTGATAAATTCTTTGTATGTAATTATTGGTTTGTAAGCTTCTTTTAGTGAAGTTTTCTTTCGTATCTAGCAGTATTAAAATGATAAGCGGTTTAAAAACTATGTAAATTGATTGGGTAATTATCACGGGCTATCACGAACCTAAGGGCTAAAATTAGGAATTAGCTAATATGCTAATGCAGGCCAGATATTGTGTTAATGCTAGCCAGATGATATGGTAATGCCGGCCAGATAATTTAATTTTGGGATCATATTAAAAATCTCCTATGCATCACGCGTGGGATCCCACGCGCACCATCTCAAATGATAATTCAGCTCTAGTACAAGAATTAGAAGCTTTTTATGGTAAATATTATTTAAATTGTAATAAAGATTTTATTTAATTCATCTTATTAATTTACGCCATTATTAGAAACCAAAGCAAAATATGGCCCCTTTCGTCACTTTCACAAATTGTACGAGATAAATAAAGTGAATTCATAGAAAGCTTTGCCAATAATGCTATGGGTACTTTACCGAAAAAACTTAAGCACGATGGAGCATGAAAAGAACCGCATGGAAGCTTACAAAGATTGCATCTGGAATTTTGCATGCTCTTAATGATGTATGGAACAATCCTGCATTCGGTCCTGAGTTTGCAAAATTGCAAAACGAAGGTATTTACGTGACCAACGTAATAGTACCTGCCATTCAGGCTTCATTAAAGGATCTTCCTTTAGGAAAGTCTACCTTTGTCAACACGTAAGTTATTATAATTAAGAAATGCCATTATTACCAATTATTTTTAACTTTTTTAATCTTTTTTTTTAGTCCAGAACGATGAAGTTCTGCTAGTGCAGATAGAAGAGATGAAGGACGATCAGGAAGACGGTCCGATATCATGTTTGTGATAAAATGCGGTGAAAAACACACAAGCTCATGTATTCCGAATGTTCACGCTTGTCTTGCACGTTGCAGAAAGATATAGACGATGAAATAAAGTTATGGCGTGAAGCCAATGATGGAATGTATTGGACTCACAAATCTTCTAGGCCCAGTCAAGTAGAATTCTGAATCATTGCGATCAGGTAGCCGGACCAATAACGCGATTAAACGCTCTTATTAGGGATACGGCTAATGTGCACTGCTATTATCATCTCTATGAAGCAAAGATTCCCATGCAACAATCTGATTCATTTATCATAGAAAATTTCGTCAAAAGTTTTACTAATCTTACGAAACATTATAATTATTAACATGTCTTTACTATTTCACGCATCACCAGTTAGGTCAAAAGTAGTTCAACGGTGGATTCATTTGTTAGATCTAAAAAACCTACTAGAAAAAAATTATGCAATTAGTATATAAGAAAAAAGGTTGTGGTCATAGTTTAATGTTAATAAAAAATCGACAAAAGTAACACAAGCCGGATATCTAATTCCGTAATATCATGAAAAAAAATATTTATACATTAAATTTTATAAATATATACACGTCACTCTGGTTATACCGACATCTGGATATAACGACATCATAGCAAAATCTTTCTATACCAGCATTTTTTCCAAAATTTTAATATAAAATGTTGGTATAACTCCTGTATCGACATCTTGAAAATTTTTACTAATGTCTCAAAAATGTCAAGATAACCAGAGTGATGTGTATTAATTATTACAAAACACAGGTTCGTATCATTATAGAGTATGCACATTTTGCATTTATAATAGGTGTTTGACAATACTAACATAATGAATCTATAATTACAAGGTCTTCTGTATACTGTTGACACCAAGACTTTATCGAAGTCTATATAGTGATTTATGGTATCGGTATATGGCAAAAGTATTACATTAGAAAAACTGATCACATGCTTAGAGCGAACCAATCATTTACTTCGAAGCTACCCAAATAGCTTGTTTCTTAATTGCTCCAATCCCTGCTAGTACAACTGATGTCAAAATCACAAGACGCCTTATTATATAAAAGTTGAGAATAAAAAATTGGATAATTGCAAAGTTCTTTAGTATTGGCTAGAAATTTGTATTTATTTTTTCCTAAAATTGGCGCGTCCCTGTTTAAAAATAACTCCACAGCACCTTGGTTCTAGAAAAAAAGCCTAATCAGTTTATTAGAATAAAAACATATTAATTATATATATATATAATTTCACAAGTACACCTTGCAAATCAATAACTTTTTATTCGTCGTCCTGGATGCTAGAGAACAAAATAGTGACTAGTTTATACGTAAAGTATATATTATTTACAATTATATATACGCCATCAAACTTAAACTGTAATTGCTGGACACTAAATATATCTAAATATAGTATGGGAAAAAAAAGTATTTGCAATTTCGATTTTAAGATATTTCATTATGCATTACGTACGAAAAATTTGTAAATCACTTGATTTAACCAGGTCAGGTTAGTTGGAAATTTGATGAAAAAAACTTTTTTTAAAGCATAAACGATAATAAAGTTGGAAACCGCAAATACTTTTTCCCGCATTGTGCATGTTAAGTTCAATGAATTTCCCATAATCAGGCGTTACAGCGTGGGAAAATGCTAGTTGTAAAAATAATTATTTCTGCTTAAAATGTATAATTGAATCATATTATACTGTACGGTGGTACTTATTATTTCTACGTATATAATTACGAGGACACTTAAATACACCTTCAATTAACCATTCTCTCATACCTTAACGTTAATATTAAAATGACTATCAAACTCATTGGAATCAGTAAATCAACAGCTACTCTCTCAGTTATTGTATGCCTCAATGAATTAGGTCTTCCTTACCAACTCGAAGCTCCAGCTAATTTTGCTGTTGATACAAAAACAGAGGACTACCTTGCTAACAAACACCCTTTGTAAGTATAAGTGAACCAACACATGAGCTCATTATACGTGTATAACCTACGTCGACGTTTTTATTAAATCTTTGAAATTTTAGCGAAGAGGGATTATAATGAGCTAACATGTGTTGCTTTCTTAGCGTCTACTGCTTGTCCTAGAGGATCTCTTGCAATATGAGTGACACCTATTCTAAATCATTTGATTATTAATACATTTTATGGGTGGTGTCACTTATACTGAAAGAGATCCATCCTAGATATTATGTTTATTAACCTATACCATTAATTATAGCGGAAAAGTTCCTGTTCTTATTGATGGAGATTTTAAAATTAACGAATCTCGCGCAATTTGTCGTTACCTAGCATCTAAATATCAGGGAAAACATACTAATACAATCTTGATCCCTAAAGATGTTCATCAGGCCGGATTAGTCGAGCAATTTACTTCTTATGAATCATTTTACTATGACCCACCCGTCTCAAAAATCGTATATCAAGAAGTAATCTATAAATTTCATGGTAAAGAATCGGACCCTGAAATTGTTAAGCAAGCTTGTGAAGATCTTTCCAAGGTTTTAGATGTTTATGAGAAGCTTTTAGAAGGAAAAGAATATTTAAATGGCGAATATTCTTTAGCTGATCTCCTTCACTACCCTTTTACTTATTATGCCTACTCTTATGCCAATCGTTCTGATTTATGGGATAAAAGGCCTAATGTTAAAAAATGGTGGGAGAGATTAAGGAATAGGGATGCCTGGAAAAAATCTTTGGAAGATATTAAAAGTTAATTGATTATCTTCAGAAAATTATTTTATATATTATTCACTTGTATTTAGAATTTTCGGTTTGTTTTATAAATTTTTTATCTGGTAAATTGTAAAAGAAATTAGTCTATAAAAAATTCTTTTGTGATTATATTAATTAGTAATACAGTGCATTTAAAAGTCTTGAAAAGTTGTTCATATCGCATACGCAAAATGCAACTGAAACATATCAGACACGTGATTTAATCGTGACTGATCCGCCTATCGCTATTAATAATAAGGCGTATCCAAAATACGTATCGGTATCATGTAATGTTACAACCTTCTACTCTGAAACGTAGACTTGTGACCCTCTTAGAAGAATTTAAGCGAGCGAGACAGTCTTGGTCCAATCTTAATGATGAGGGTCTTACTCTAGCAAATACATTAGTCAATACAAAACTGCAAGAACGGTATATAGTAGTGTCTAATAATAAATTTATACGATTTACGGATGATAATGATTTAATTTCGAATATAGCCTTACAGATAATCTGCCAGAATGGGCACCAGAATCAAACGATTTTATACATCTGAATGACGATCATAGTATTCCTGATGACAAAATTATCGCTTTGAAAGAATCGCTTCAACAAATCGTCGAAAAAATGGTATGTTTTAGTTTTGTTTATGAATATTAATGTGAATATAATATTTTTTTCAATTTCATAAAACAATTTCAAATAGGCGAAACAGCTTACAAAAATGAAAATGCAAATTCTTCAAGTGGAATTCCTTCTCGAGGAAGCATGTGAAAGCATGGGTGATGAAATTGTTTACAATAATCCATTATATTTATCATGTTCATTGGAAACGTTTGGTATGTTATTTAATTTCCAGATTTTTTCATGTAATAATACCAATATCATAATGTTTTATAATACTATTTATTTGTTTTATTAAACTTTACTAGTTGAATTTTCTGTTATTATCTTTAATATGTTTACTCAAGAAATGGATCTTAAACAAAAAATAATTTTATCTCTTGAATTGGAATTGGAAAAACAACAATTTATGGTAATTCTATCAACTTGGTTAAATCAACCGTATATTGATTTTGATAAAATAATAGAATTTGAAAATATTTGTAAAATTGAAATAGACAATAAAGAAGAAATTTAATTATTATTTGTAATTTACATAAAGTGTAATAAATATAAAATATATCTTTTACAAAATATAGAGTATTATTTTAAAGTATATTATATTTTATAGGAATTTGATTGACTGTAATATGGTATAATAAATTATACTGTATATAAATATGGAATTTTAAGATTGTTACTTGCATTAATTGGTTTAGATGCTTTTGAAAGTTCAAATGTTTTCTTGTATAACTTGGTTGAGATTAATTTAATCGGGTCAAATTGGCTTGCATATATTACTTGTTGAGTCCTTTTTAAACTGAATATAATCCAGTTTCATCAATACTTAGTATTGATCGAAAGAGCTTCCCTTGTAACTTTTACTATCAAGCTCTATTGTTTTAAAATTTTAAAAATAAAGGGAACGCCTATTTCTACCATGAAAATTTACTATTTTCACCATACTTTTACAAGACTTTCAGTTACATGAATATGACAAACATATTGTTATAATAAATGATGGAAATAGCAAATTTTCATGGTGGAAATAGGCATTCTCGAGATAAATAGTATATTGTATTTCTAAATATTGTATAGATTTCTATGCTTTTATAATTACTATAGATGAAGCTAAAAGCTAATAATCAATTTTAGTTAAAAATAGCAAAAATTTCAAAAACTAAAATTAAAAAAAATTACTATATCAAAGTTGAATTATTTTTTTTAAATAAACCTGATTGGACTGCCGTCAATAGAAATCAAGCAGACTGTCATTTCAAAAAATTAATGACTTAACTTTTGCTATTCATATCTCTATGATTTTCGAAGCTATTCTCATGATTTGATGGTCAAAAAAAAAAGTTTAAATATTAAGCTTTCTTTTAACTATTAAATCATCAGAATATCATCGAAATTCATCGAGATATGAGCAAAAGTTAAGGCTTTTTTTTTTAAATGTCAGTCTGCTTGATTTATTGATGGCAGTCCAGATAGTTATTGAGAAATTAAATTTTAAAGTTTAACTTTTTAAATCCTGACATAGTATTTAAAAAAAATTTAGATGTTGAATTTTAAACTTAATTTCTCATTAATTATCTTAATAAATTGCGAAACTTTAGAAATATCGGTTTTGGTAAAAAAAAAAAAAATTACGATGATATTTAAAGAATAAATATTTGATTCTTAACTTGAATCTTAATATAATTTTAAATTATATTTCCAAAATGGAATCTTTTATATATTATAAATCTCAATTTTATGAATTGCATAAAGCTCTCTAGACGCGTACGCGCCTATCATAATAAAATTCACTTAAATAAATGTGATAAATTATGAAAAAAAAAACTTTTATTTGCATTTCCATTATCCAATAACGAATGTATTTATCAGCTCATATTGTCTTAAAGCATCCTTTAGCAAGTTACTTTATTAATTTGTTTAAGAAAATCCATTTAGTAGGATAAATTGCCAATATCAAATTTTTTTTCAAATCTATTTCCATATTGGAGTTTATTAAAAATCGGTAACGATAACCAATATAAACGCTACAATCAGTATAATCTTTTTGTTCGAATACAAGGTCTCTAAAAGAGAATGGTTATTTTGGTATTTGTTTTCGCGTCATAACTAAATGTAACATCATCAGGCGTTTAACAAAGGTAAGCATATATCAATAGCCGTTTTGTTTTTTAAGTTCTAAACCGTTTTGCTTTTTTTTCACTACGTATACAAAGAAATAATATGAGGCAATTCTGTGTAACCATTTCCTCTTTTGAAATTCATTGTAAGAACGTGACACTTTCCGCCACACCAGAACTTGTGAATAGAAGAATGAAATATCATACGTCCATAACTTTCTAATTATCTGTGTTATTAAGGCATTATAGTTACCAAATTTAATAGTTGAAATTTGAAAATAAGATTATAAAATAGTTGCATTAAAAATCATGCATTTACATGTAATTATTAATATATAATCATGAATTTTTAGAACAAACATCCAGGATATTATTTACTATATCCATTGGTCCATCATCGACTACAACAATATCGAACGTTTCTAAATAGGTATTTATTAAATCCTCAACCATATGATTTAAGAATCCGATAGTTAAGCAAGTCTCGTGTTGAATTCCGTCAGACATATGTATGTCACCAACTGAATCGCCCAGTAAAATAACGTTCCCACGATTTTCGATAGCGGTGTGATAAGAACTGTTCTTAATCATAATCTCACTTTTGTTGAATATGTGGATCAGAGGTATTTCAAAATGGTCACATATCCCCGTTTCTGGATTAAATCCCATTTGATTAGATACAATATGCATATTATCAGGATAATAAAGGTTCTTTGTGACAAGGACTTGTTCAATGACATCTTATATCATAACAAAAATTGTAAGCTTTTTGTATACTATTATTTAAACATAAATTGGTTGAAAAAAAAAATAATGTAATTACTAGCAATCCCGGCTGAAAATATCAAGAACGGTATGTCGTTGTCCTTGCATGTTTTAATTAACATATCCAATCCTGGCCTCATTTCTACTGGTGTTTCTGCTACCATCCCTTTTACATCGTCTTTGTTGATATGTTGACCTATTAAAAGTTCATGAGCTTTTTCCCACCATTCAATCATGAATGGTGTTTTCTCTTCTTTTGTCAATATTTTATCCATTTCAATTGGATAATAAATTTCACATAATTTTTCTGTTTCCTTTTTGAACTTGATTAAAAGAAAATATATTTGAATTATTAAAAATTTTCAAATTAAATCCAACCTTCAATTGTTTTTAAGCGTACAAACTTCTTCAGTTAAACGAGAACTTGAAGACAGTATCTTATGTGAGCCTGGATTTCGTTCACGATTCAAAGTAAAATAACGTGTCATTGTACAATCGAAATCTTTTTAAAGAATTGAAAACTTTGTTAGAAAACAAACGACAAAACGAGATTAATTTTTTAAAAATAAATGACAGATAAAAAGATGTACCACAAACAACTTGTAAGTTTCCAAGACCATCTTTCACTATCTTTTCTATTTTTCGACGTGTCGCGTCAACATTTTTAAGTTTGCAATTTTTTTTAATGACATCGATCAAGTGTTGAACCTTCTGCGATGACATCTCTGTGCTTTTATAATTATACTTTGAGTAAAAGGTGTTAATATATAAGTACTAATGTTATCGTGTTTATAGTATTATCGTTATATATGGGAATATCTATTTATCTACGTACAAGATCATTTATTGCAAATGAGTAGTCTTGTCTTGTTTGATCACAGGCTGATTAACCAATCAAATCTTTTACTCGCGACATAGAAGTGATGTATGGATGTCACTACCCTATGACATTAAGGTGACATGAAAAGTAGCTAACTACCTTGTATTAAAAGCAATGACTAACGTAATTTACGCGGAAAAACTTAGATCCGGATTTTCTATAATTCTAAATTGGAGAATACCTTTATCGTTATGCAAATCTGGATCTCTAATCAAAATTTAGATAATTAGATGCATTTTATTTACTTATTGTATACAAGAATGAAACTATATGTAAAATTTTATTCTGAAAAATTTTTACTTAAAGGCCAAAAGCAGTAAAATTTTGCATTAGCTACGGTTTGTTAGTTTTTTGTCTTCATGAATGTTCATTAAAAATTCTAAAAATAAAAATTTGACTGTTACCCTCATAGGCAGAATTGCTAATAAATTCAACAATTTAGAATACTTTTTTTTAAAAAAAAAATGAAATCCAACCACAATAAAGTAAAAAAAAAAAAGCTATATAGAAGGTTTTATCAGAGCTGTAAGACTTCGCAGTTAAAAATGAGATCTAATTCTCGTCCGTTTAAAAAAATTTGCTTAGTAATAAGTTGATTTTATCGGGTTTGAGAAGTTATTACTATACTAACTTTTTTTAAACAGACGAGAATTAGATCTTATTTTTGGTTATAAAGTTATGTAGTACTCTAAACTGTATAAATAATATAAAATTAAATTGAATTTATTAGCCAATCAGACAAACATCTGCCTATGAGCTTTACCTTTGTTATAACGAAGTGATCTGGAAAGTTTCATTCATTATAATAAATATTCATTACAATAAATATACATTATAGATTAACTTTCTTATAATTAGTCAATCACATGAAATTGAAATATTTATTATAGTTGGTCTTTAATTACATAATAATTGATTAATTAAAAATAATTTGTTATAAATAAAATAATATTTTTGAGATGTAGCAACCTAGTGAAGTAAATAGGTTGTCAATTCTCAAGTAACAGATTTAGTATTCAAATTTTATGAATAATAAATTTTGAAAATTATATCTGTATTATGAAAACTATTTTGTAATTAGTTGAATTAGCATATCTGTAATCTTCAGTTACATCATCTCAAATAAAAGCTCAAGACATCTATATGAAGTATAATACAGGTTGAATGAATGAATAAAGAGTAAATAATAGATAAAGAACAGAAAAAAAATTTGCCATTATTCTATTCTATATCTGCCAAATAATGACAGCATAACAGCAGCATAACAGTTGAATAATAATAAAATAACAGGAGGTTTGTCAATATGAGTAAGATAATAGTAACATAATAGCAAAATAATAGAACAGTTCTATTATTTTACTTTTAGTTACAAAGACTAAAAGTAAAATAATAAAACTGTTCTATTATTTTGCTATTATGTTACTATTATATTACTTATATTGACAAATCTTCTATTATTTTACTGTTATTCTGCTATTATGCTACTATTATGCTGTCATTATTTGGTGAATATAAGATAGAATAATGGCAGATTTTTTTTTGTTATTTACCTATTATTCACTCTTTATTCATTTGTTCTACCGATGTAATATTATATAAATACAAAAAAATATTAATAACCAGTGTCATATAAGACTTCAATATAAAAAACATTAGGTTATATTTGAAAACAAAATTATTTTAAAAAAACAAGTTAAAAAATAAAATTTTTTAATATTTTTTTTAAATAGATGAAATTATAAAAAATATAAATATATAAATCAGATTTGTTTTTTCTTATAAAAAATTATAAGAAATTTATATTTTGGTGCACTATACACTATAATATACTTATTACACTAGATCAAGTATTTTTATTGGTTGTCAAGATATGTATTTAATTATTATATATGTTCAAATTTATACTTATACTCAATTTTATAATGTTATTCAAATACAAATAAAATTTTACTTAGGCATCTTGGTAACTTTTTTAAGCCATCCAAAACAAAAAACCTATGCTATTATTAAAAATAATATGAGTTTAAAACTAAATCTTAAAGAGTTATAACCCAGACTGAATTAACAATCTATTGTGATATGTCAGAATTATAACTCTTTAAAATTTCATTTAACTAAATTTCAAATAGAGCTTGTTACTTATATATTACTAACCTTGTGCTTATAAATCAGCTTTTTCTTAAACTAAGTAATATTTTATAAATAAATACACAGATCTAAATAAAAAATTATATTTATAAAATATACTAAAGAGCTGTTGATATAATTGAATACTTTGAGAAATCTTTTTATATTACTAAGAATATTAATAATATAATTAACAATATAGAATCAGTTTCTTTAAAAGAAAATGACTCATTTGACAACTTTGATAATGCAGAATGTCATATATATCATTTAGCTAAATATAAAGGGTTCAAATTATAACTCAAATATGTAACAACTGTAAATATAACAGAAAATATCAAGAAAATTGGTAAATAGACAATTTTCTATAAATATTTAGACTTATTTAGACTAAAAAATATAAAAAAACTAAGTTCTTTAGCTTAAATACAGTGCTCTGCTATGTTAACCTTTTACATTCTTCAAAAGGCAACAATAGTTTTTATATAATTATTATTACTTAAATATATTCATAATTATGATTTGTTGATTAAAGCAATTTAGTTTGAAAAAAAGCAAGTAGTTTACACAAAATATACAAAAAAAAATTAAATTTCTTGTTAATAAATATTGTCTTGATACAACTATAGTATATCAAATTCTAAAAGAGAAGTTTTCATCTTATCCTATATTCACCAAAGACCTTTATACTATAATATAACAATGCAAACCATCAAGTACTTCAATTAAAAATAATACTTTACAATTTTATAAGCAACTATTGTCTAAACAATAAGAAAATTTTCATTAGTTTGTTAAAGTTATGTGAAAGAAGGAAACTAATATATTAATTAATTTACTTTAAATGAGCCTTAAACAAATAATATTGTGATATGAATTTAACAATACAATAAGGTATAATAATACTATAGGCACTAATAGATATAACATATTTTTTTCTTTATTTGTAATATATAATGATAATATGTAGTCTCACATTGTTGCTCAGACATTAGTTAGCAATAAATCAACTGACTTATATTAATAGGTTCTTTAAATAACCAAAAAGGCAACAAATCACAAATGTTTTATGTATTTGTAACTAACAGCAATTTAGCAATGAAGCATATTATAATTTTAGAATATTAGATAATGTAACACCTTATTTGCATTTGGCATATTAAAAAAAAACATAAAGAAAATATTGTAAAGCAAGTTAGAAAACCAATTTGATAAATTTTATAACAAATTTTGATAATGTCAAAATGCTGATATATTACAGGTCTTTGAATTCTACTGAAATCAGCTTATAAGCTTTTTTGCAGTAAAATTATACCTTAAGCATTATCTCTATAATTGCTGATTTTTATGAACATGTGCATTTACTGTGATAATATTTACACTTGGCATTTAATTTATATCTTTTGTTAAAGGCCAAAATACATATATCAAGCAGGTATTGAAAAATAACAATATGTTACTATATGATTTAGATAATATATTAATAGAGCAAAATATAAAAAAAAACAAAAAAAAACAAATATGAGAAATAAAAAAAGAGCATTCCTTTTATAACAAATACAATCACTATTTTTTCCACAATTAAGTCTTTAATTAAACATTACTTAAAGCCAAATGTTGTATACTTTTTAGTAAAGCAAATAAAAGAAAGCCTATACTATACTGGCAGCTATATTACAATTGAAGAAGTCAAGTCATTTGCTTTGTATAAACTTCTACTTTGTGAAAATATAGATAATAAGTTTGATGCTATTATTTTGTATACTACTTGTTTTTTAGAATATTTAGAACAAAACTTAATTATAAAAATTTAGCAAATATCAAGAATTACAAACAATAGTATTAATCATTTCATATTTCTTCTTGTAAATAAGTTGTATAGTTGTATTTGCCTTTTACAACAAAGAAAAAAGCTTGTATATTGTTACTTTTACTATCTTTTAAATATTATAAATAAGACACAGTTTAGTTTAAAATTAATTGTACTATATTGGATTTTTAAATACTAATGATTAGATGCAATAAAGAAACATGTATACTTCAGTTAATATTTCAACAACATAAATAATACAACTACCAATATGGCTATAGTTCTGAAGAACAATAAGAGTCACTATGTATAGCTACAATCATTTACTAGTAATGAAACAAAAAAAATTACAAATAATAATTTTATTAATAAAATGCTCTTTTATAGAAAAGTTTAAGGACTTGCACATACTGTGGTCAACAAATATATGTTATATTATAATAACAAATTTGTTGTTTTAATTAAGATAACATCTGTGCTAAAGAAGAAAAATTAATTAAAGTACAAGAAGATATTACAAGTGCTTCAATTAGTTAAAACATTGTTAAAAACAATAAAGTTAATATGTTTTAACTTGCAAATCTTTGGAAGGTGATTGTAAAGAGAATACCAAAAGTAGCATGTTACCATAATAACATTATAAAAGTTATTTTATATAATACAAGTAAAAAAAAAGTGTAGCCAATACACTTGTGGGTTTTGTAAAAAACCAGACTATAATATTATAACTTGTTTGAATAAAATATAAAGATAAATATTAAGATTATAGAACAGAACAAAGCTTTTTAGAAAAAAGATTAATAGAAATTAATATGAGTTATAAAACTTGCACTATTTATTGCTATATATGTTATGTAAGTTTTAATATTGTTGGTTTTTAATTTTGATTATATGCCCACAATTCAA